CACACACACACACACACACACACACACACACACGTTTAGTGAAAATCACGTATTTTGAAAAACCTAAAACATGGATTTTTTTCTATAAACCAATGGATCGTGAAAAATCTTTATTGCTTGCTATTACTCTTTTTTTTTTTTTTTTCCCCTTACTCGTCAAATGGCGATAAGTCTGCGGCTGTAAGTTCGTAGCGGAGACGAATACAAAGCTCCGTCCCTAGATGAAACAAATTTGCGCAAAGGAACGAGATTTGCGCCGTGTTGGAGATAACCAACCGTCAAGGGGAGTGATGTGCACCGAATACGGCAAGGTCAATACGGCACTCTTGACCTTGGCTCGTTAACAAAAGGTCTAGCGGCCTTTCACGCGCCACAGTGATGAAAGATCTTTTCTTGAAAACTCTTTTTAACCCCAACATGATGTTGGGAAATTGCTATAGCCGTCTTCCGCAGGGCCTGCCGAGCCTACAGTCGGCCAGGGGAGGGCCATTGTGGGGTCCCCGGCCCCGTTCTTTGAATTACGTAATATGAGACACTGTTAAAAAATAATCATAATAATAATAATAAATTAAAAAAAAAAAAGCTATAGCCAGCACTGTTTTGCCTGTGTTGGTCGAGGACTGTTTGGGTTTTCGAAACGACGGCGAAGCGGAAGTGAGATGGCGGCACGTTGGATCTGCTTCTTGATTATTATATTACTGTAAGTATGGAGTGCAGCTTCTCATCAAAGAGAATTGAGGCTTAAATAGAAGAAGAAAAAAAAAAAGTTTCACAAATAGGGGTGTGTGTGTGTGTGGGGGGGGGGRGGGGGAGGAAACGGATAGCCATTTATATACATTAAAAAAAAAGGGAAATGGATGGACAGATGATCAAAGATCGCTTGGCTACTGGAAATAATAACAACGCATGGCGTACTCACACTGGCAATATCTTAGACGTATCTGACCAACATTTAAGGCCAGACCTGGATGTATTTGACGGCAATTACGTCCACGAACAAGTAAAACCGTACCGGTGTGACGATTCCCTTATCGTCATCGAACTCTATCCAACGGGTGGGGTATGTTTTTCCATCTCTTTCTTTCGTTTTTTCTTCCTTTTTTTTTTTTTTTTCTGGTGACAACCGAGTTACTCCGGTTTATCAACAGCTCTTCAGATCAACAACTATATCTCAACGACGTAAAACAAGTAGGTAGTAAAAAAAAAAAAGATATGTTCCATGATGACATGGCAGAACGCTCGTTAAAAGATATGTGAGGTGAGAGAAAAATATATAACTGTCCCCCGATGAGGAGAAGGCAGCGTTWWAAAGAAAAAAAAGGGGRGGGRGGGGGGGGGGGAGGAAGAGGGGAATTGCACGCATGACAAACATACCGTACATACTGAAAAATTATCCCTCTGTCAAAAAGCGAGCCAGATGCAACCCTCCTAGCAGCAGAAAAAAGGAACCATCCTCATCTTATTGAGGAAACGAGAGACTCTACGGAGAAATAGAGGTCAAGAGGTAATAATGCGCTGAGATGAAGGATGGTCGTCAAAAGGCTGAGAGAAAAAAAGAAACGAGCGGGGCACTTCGCAGGTGAGTGATTCGCAATGCGGAGGATCGATCCTCTGACCTCTCGTGAATGCAGCCACGCTGGATTAAAAGGGCGGGAAGCAGTATGCTTGGATGGAAATTCAATCTTTAACCATCCATACAGGGAGGGAGAAAAAAGGCGGGAAACCAGTTCAAGAAAGGCGGGAAACAGTTCAAGAAAAGGCGTGAACCAGATCAAGAAAGGCGGGAACAGTTCAAGAAAGTCGGCAGGAACCAGATCAAGAAAGGCGGGAAACAGTTCAAGAAAGGCGGGAAACAGTTCAAGAAAGGCGGGAACCAGATCAAGAAAAGGCGGGAAACAGGTCAAGAAAGGCGGGAAACAGTTCAAGAAAGGCGGGAACCAGATCAAGAAAGGCGGGAGCCAGTTCAAGAAGCAGAAGTTAACGCACCATCTCCTCGTCGTCTGGTTCGTTGCGCCTGGATAGTCCTCGACAACGAAGCCTTATCTATACAGGTAGCGATATATACTACCGTCTTCACCCAAATACAACGTACGGCGATTATTGCTGTATCTAGCCTCAAAGTTGCCCCAAATACAGTTATAATGACCGTACGTTGTATTCGGCTGAAGATAGTAGGATGGAGGCTCTCGCTTAAATAGGATGCTCATATCACCTCTTTAAGTGGAACCTCCCTGATCGGAACTTTTTCTATAAACAAAAACAAAAAAAAAACAGAAAGAAAAAAAAAAATGGAGGCTCGCTGGGAGGTTCGCTGGTCGACGAGCCTCCAGCTATGCACATATCTGCTCTGCTCTGCTCAGCTCTACTTTGCTCTGCTCTGCTCTGCTCTGCTCTTCTCTACTCTGCTCTGCTCCGCGTCTGCTCCACATATCTGCTCTGCTCTACTCTGCTGTGCTCTGCTGTTCTCTGCCTGTTTTCGCCCATAAGCCGATCTCAAGAATCGAACGCGCGACCTCCCAGCCATAATGCGGAGGAGCGTGCGTGAGTCGCATATGTATCCCAATTTGACTTGCCGGGGGAATAGGAACCGGACTGTTGCTCCCCAGAATGGTAGACGCCAGAACCAGGAGGTTCTGTTTCGAAAAAAAAAAAAAAAAAAAAAAAAAAAAAAAAAACAGAATCGAACGCGCGACAACCTCCCTCATGGGAGTTGCACCCTCAACCAAACGCCTCTGCTCGGCTCTCCTCTGCTCTACTCTCCTCTGCTCCGCGCCTACCATCTCTTTTTTTTTCTTTTTTTTTCCTTTTTTCCCGTAGTGGTATACTTGGACGGAGGCTCGTCATCTATATACTTACGCGCCGCCATAACGAACAGCAACTTCCTTATTATACATGCTGTCAAGCGAGAGAGGCATACAAGCCTTGCGCAAAGGGTTAAGAGTACTCACGCGCTGCTCATCAAATTCCGAACGGAACGCTTAACGGGTGAGGGCATACTCACACTGGCACATTTTTCTCTAAGTACCTGACTTTGATTACAGTCAGACATGGATGAATCTGACCGCAATCACGTCCAGAGCTTAGTAAGAAAGAAGTCCTAGAGTAAGTCTGTCATCAGAGTAAGAAAGGAAGACCCTCTGAAGCAGAGGGGGTCCTGATTTTCTATGCTACAAGCCTCTCCCCTCTTCTCACCGTAAATCGCCTGGACCCTCCAACGCTTAGAATTGCCGTTGACGGCTCTCTATTTAACTGCGACTCTTCCCCATCATGGAGACGACTCGAAAAAGCGATCGGGAATCCATGTTGTCAGCCGAATAGAACGTCCGCTCATTATAGCCGTATTTGGTCAAGTTTTCAGTTCGGATCCATGTATAATGACCAGGGGCGTCCTTCGGGACATCCGTTAAAATTGGAACGATACAGCGAAGATTAACATGGCCCTTGCGCAGGGAAAAAAATAATAATAATACTAATAATAACAATAATAATAATAATAATGACCAGGCGCTTTATTCGGGTGAAGACGGCAGAGCAATAAAGCGCGGGCGCAGGGTCGACAGCGGGAAAGCAAGAGAGACAGGAGATGACGATAGACAGGAAAACACACTCCAGCTATGCCCAGCGGAACGTACGGGGACTGCAATTTGTTGTTTGACAGAGACCTGCGCGCTTGTGCAAAGAAGCCAGAGAGGTCCTTCGGGACATCCGTTAAAATTGGAACGATACAGAGAAGATTAGCATGGCCCCTGCGCAAGAATGACACGCATAAATCAAGAAATGGTCCAAAAAAAAAAAAAAAAAAAGAAGCCAGAGAGACGGTGGGAGAACGAGCGGAGAGACGGATTACAGGAGCTTACCACACTCGACGGAGAGATGCAAGCTTGTGAAAAGTAGCCCAGAAGCAGTGGGAGAAGGGAAAAGGGTAGAGAGAGAAAGAGAGAGAGTAGGGCGAGAGCGTCACGCTCATTCGCTATGCTTGGCAGAAAACTGCGTGCTTGCGAAAAGAAGCCCGGAGACAAGTGAACGGAGGGAGGGGAAAGCAAGAAAGAGAGATTGCGCCGCCACGTAGAGGTGATTTGCGACAGCAGAGCTATGAAGCGGCGGAACCGCGAGCTCCTCCGCCGTCGGCTGCGCGACAGTAGCGCGCGCGTAGATTCACCGCGTTCGCAACCAATGGCTGCTGCGATATGCACCCTTCTTCCCTAGAATACAATCTACGGTCATCATAGATGTAAAAAAAAAAGAAAAAAAGAAAAAAGATGTATTTAGACTGAAAGATGCCCCAAATACAGCTATACTAACCGTACGTTGTGTTCGAGGGAAGAAGGGTAGTAGTGAAAGCCACCCTTCTTCCCTAGAAAACGAGCACACAGGGAGAGAGAGAGAGAGAGAGAGAGAGAGACAGAGAGACAGACAGAGAGAGAGAGAGAAGGGATCTAGGAGCTGGAGGAGCGTTAGAACAGATACCCGACAAGATGATGCAAACGGCGAAGCGCAATGAAAAAAGACAGACGGTCCGAGCGAGCAAGAAAACCCAGAACACTTCTCTCGAAGGCAACTCCGCGCCTACCCTTCTTCCCCCGAATACAACGTACGGTCATTATAGCTGTGTATTTGGGGCATCTTTCAGTCTAAATAACAGCTATAATGACCGTACGTTCTATTCGGGGGAAGAAGGTAGATTATGAGGTAAAACTGCGCACATAGGCAGCAGACAGAAACTGCGGCCTGACTACTGTAGGCAAGCGTAAGGCCAGCTCAGGGCCGTGAGTATGCACGCACGGCGAGAAAAAAAAAAAAAAGGACACCTTGCCCCAAATGATGCGCAACTTCCGCAGTGCCTCTGCTACCGTACCTTCGCGCAATCGTCTGAAACGATGTTCCCGACGCTTAAAGAGCTCTGGTTCTGGAACTTGCCCAGCAAGCACGGCGACCTGGATGCATACATACATACATACATACATAGTACGACGGAAATCTGGATACATACATACATAATACGACGGAAACCTGGATACATACACAGTACGACGGCGACCTCGATACCTACTAAAAAAAGAAAAAAAAAGAACAAAAAAAGAACAAAAAAAGAAAAGAAAAAAAAAAAAAAAGCCTCTGCGTCCCGGCGAGGCGACGCACCGAGCTACGTTTCTTCCCCGAATACAACGTACGGTCATCATAGCGCTGTATTTAGACTGAAAGATGTCCCAAATACAGCTGCTATAACGACCGTACGTTGTATTCGGAGAAAGAAGGCTAGGCCGGTGCGTCGCAATACCCCACATCCCCGCCACGTGGGATACAAATCCATCTCTCTTCACAAGACTCGAAGAGTTGTTCAGGGCGCTCAAAGGGTTCTCAATCACAATGATGGGTCCAACCCAACCCATGGGATTGGAACACTCCATCCTCACTGATAAAACGCGCATAGTCAGTACGGGAGAAGAATTCCATTGCATAGTTGCGGATTGTGACGAAAATCATCCACCACCCCGCCACGTCGGATAAGACGAGGATGCAACTCCCGCGCATTTGCCTTCCCGCCCCCCCCTCCCCCGCGCATTTGCCCCCCCCCCCCCCCCCCCCCCCCCCCCCCCCCCCCCCCCCCCCCCCCCCCCCCCCCCCCCCCCCCGCGGATTTGCCTTCCCGCCTCCACCTCCCGCGCAATTCCCCCCCCCGCCTCCACCTCCACTTCCCGCGCATTTCCATTCCCGCCTCCAGTTCCCGCGCGTTTGCATTCCCTCGTCCACAGCTACCGCGTATTTTTGCCGCTTATTTGCATTCCCGCCCTCCAGTTCCCGCGTATTTGCATTCCCGCCCTCCCGTTCCCGCGTATTTGCATTCCCGCCTCCGGTTCCAGTGGCGCATTTTTGCATTCCCGGCCCCAGTTCCCAATGGTGCAAATATGATCCTCGAATCAACAATGTTCTCCTCAACAGGCGCTCGCCATCACCCTGATCCTGTCGTTCCTTTTCATCTTCTTCATTGCAACAGAGGATCGTCAGCTTCGCCTCCCTGGTGGTCATCAAGCGCGGCATCTGCATCTCAACATAATCTACCTAACAAAATACGCATGCTGTCCAGCGCCAATCTCTCCTCCTCCTAGCCCTCCTCAATAGCATCACCCTCGTCCTTCTTCGCTTTCATTCCTCGTACCTCTCCCACTCCTCCCGCGCTATCGTCGTCTTCACAATCTCTCCCGCCACGGCCACCGTCCTCGGATCATCCCCCCCGAGCTCCTTCCCCAGAATCCTCCTCCGCGCAGCCACTTCGTATCCCCCTAGCACCCTCTTCTTGTTTTCCCCATCATCTTCCCGCGCACCGTTCCAACCTTCCCGCGCAGCATTCCTATCCCTCCGTACACCGTTCCCATCTTCCCGCCCACCGTTCCCATCTTCCCGCGCAACATTCCTATCTTCCCGCGCAGCTCGTTCCCATCTTCCCGCGCAACACTCCTATCTTCCCGCGCAACATTCCTATCTTCCAGCGCACAGTTCCCACCTTCCCGCGCAGCATTCCTATCTTCCCGCGCAACATTCCTATCTTCCCGCGCAACATTCCTATCCTCCAGCGCACCGTTCCCATGTTCCCGCGCAAATTCCTATCTTCCCGTACACCGTTCCCATCTCCCCACAACACTGTTCTGGTCGTCAGTCTCCACCTCTTAACTCCACTACATCAGCCAGCTCCTCTTCATTCGTCGAGCGCCCTTCATCATCCTCCCTTTCCCTTCCTCCTCCATATTCTTCCCTCCTGCTTGACGTCATCCTCAATCCACGTTCCTTAAGGCACCCGCGTCGCCATCGAGACAAAAAATGACGATTGCAAAACTCAAAACTGCTCCAGACATACCAAGGACAAGGATTGACAGAATGAGAGCTCTTTCTTGATTCCATATGAAAACACAAAAAAAAACAAATAACGAGCGAGTCCTTCGGGACGACGTCCGTTAAAATTGAAAAAAAGATGGACAGAAGATTAGCATGCTCCCGGCGAAAGAGAAGAAAAGAGAAAAACAACGATAATCACCATTAAATACAATAAAAATTGACGAGTGCGCAAATTTAAAAGAAAGCGTCATCGCATTCGTGTGAGGACCAGGTACGAGAGAGAGAGAGAGACGTACTCGTAGTCGAGACTCTCGATGAGATCTGGAGACGACTGAACCGTCTTAATTCGTGGCATTGATTCCTTCGACGGGGAGATGGGTGATATGTACGCGCCGGAAAGTTGTTGTTGCCGTCGCTGCTGCTGCTGCTCTCGCTGCTGCTGCTGCTCTCGCTGCTGCTGCTGCTCTCGCTGCTGCTGCCGCCATCGCCGACCTCCACCAGGACCAGGGAGTAAGGGCTCGGTGATCGTGTCCTCCCTTATGTCCCCCCGATTCATGGCCATCAGTTTAACCAATTGTTTACTGCGCAGTTAGACCGGGACCTCAAGTCGCGATGATGATGATGATGATGATGATGATGATGATGATGTTCAGGTCAGGAGGATGACGACCATCGATGTCTACGACGAGAGCTTCCGAGTGAGAAAGGACCACCAGCGCAGAGACCGGAAAATAACGGACGTTGAAAAAACAGAGCGGGGCCAGAGCCTTTAATAATGCGCCCAACGGCGACAGCCGAACGAGGGACTCGAAAGCAGCTCGACCGTCGGAATCCCCATCGGTCTCGGTAGGTCGATAACCCGCCCCCGCCTTCTCGCTGGCGATGTCGATGAGCGCGGCGAATTCGCCGACGCCGAAGCGCGCGCAGTGTTTTTCTTTTCCTCACAGCGAAGCTACACGCGCGAGAGCGACCGAGTGGCGGGGAAGTAGGCCATGCCGGAAATCGATAATCGATGTCGAAATAACAGATGATTACACACAGTAAATTGCGGAAATAGTAAATAAAGATTCCTAAAAATAAAAAATAATAATAATAATAAATTTAAAAAATAAAAAATAAAAATAAAAAACGTCACAAGATTTTTTTGATCCCAGGAAATTCGGAGACACGGCAGCAGTGGAAACACTGCAAGACCAACTGGCGTACGGTAGCTCAGTTGGTTCCGTACAGCCCCCCCGACCTGAACTGTTGAAAGACAGCCCTGAGTTCAAACTCTACGTAATCAGACGTGTGAAAAAAAATATATTACAATTCTGAGTCACCCGTAGGGCCGGTCAGTTCCATGATGATATCTCAAGAAACACTGCAAAACCCCGGAGGAAGGGCAAGCAGCACCGATTCGCGCAAGGCGACAGATAACTCTCCATCTCGATTCTCGATGACATAAGAGCTATGGCGTCATCAGCCACCCTGCAAAGCATGCAAAGCAGGCGAAGGCCTGGAGTACCAGGTCGTGCATCGCCCTGGCAATTATTATTGGGCCTCGCTGCAGTACTCACCAAACCAAATGTCCAAAATGAGAACGAATCTACTGCTAAAACATGGAAACACACACCGCCATATTATTTGTCTTTTGTGCACGTGGCGAGTAGTGGAGCAAGGCCCATTGCCCGGTCCCACGAAACCCCTCCGCCATATAGGGCCTCGGTGCATTACTCTCGACAGGCACAAAAGAAAAAAAACATGGCGGTGTATCTTTCCATAATCTAGCAGAAGATTCGCTTGCACTTTTCGAGAAAATGTGCAGCGAGGCCCATAGTTCCGCCAGCACCTCTCCGGTATAGTTCCATTAGGCACTACTCTCGAAAAGTGCGAAACGAGACTGAATCTTCCGCTAGATTACGGAAAGATACACCGCCATGATTTTTGTTCCATTAGGGAACACGTGGCGGCCCAGCACCTGGGTCAGAGCAGCACACAGGCGTCGCCGCACGGGACACGAAACGAAAAACGAAATGAGTGCATCTTCCTGCAGAAAATGGCCAGGTTCATCGTTTTGCTATAAATAATAACGAGTGTATTTTGCCACCTTTCGCGGGCAGATGCGCTCGTTTCGTTTTCGTTTCGTGTGCCGTGCGGCGAGACCCTAAACCAACGGAAGCAGCAGCTATGTTACCAGGGGTTTAGTGGCAGGTGCTGAGTTGTTGTTGTTTTTTTTTTTTACCCCCGGGGTGCTGGGTTATAGAAGTCCGTTACTAAAGGGTCATATTTTATAGCTGGCTGTTTTTCGAGTGAGATTCTCCCCCCACGGAGGGGTAACAATGTCGGGAACTGATTCATCTGTCTCTTATACACATCTAGATGTGTATAAGAGACAGGTGCTGAGTTGTTGTTGTTTTTTTTTTTTACCCCCGGGGTGCTGGGTTATAGAAGTCCGTTACTAAAGGGTCATATTTTATAGCTGGCTGTTTTTCGAGTGAGATTCTCCCCCCACGGAGGGGTAACAATGTCGGGAACTGATTCATGTCTCCACACTTGTTCATTTCTATGGCACGCTGGACCCCTTTTCCACCAGATGGAGCACCCCACCATCCACACGGCAGGCCCTCTAACGTGGCGGTTTTCGTATCACTCCGCAAGATGATTGTAAAAAAAAAAAGGGTAAAGCCGCGTGGGGGTTCAGAGCTGTGCATGCTGCGGCACTGGTAGAGAGAAGCCGTAAGCCATTAGCCCTCGAGCGCGGGTGAATACGGAAGAGACCTTGAGCGCAGGTGTACTGAGAGAGTTGTTGTGCGGGTCGTACGAGAGAGAGATGTACGGACGGCTTGGGGAGAGGAAGCTGTAGTACGGACGTGCGGAGAGAATGCCGTATGACTGAGGTTGTAAAAAGGACGCGCTGAGTAGATGGAGCCTCCCTGGGAGTGCTAGCGGTGTCTGCTCTTACCAGCACCCGCCCTCATAATCTGTATTTGGGGTAAAACAAAATAGTAGTAGTAAAATACATTATTGTTCCCGAACAAATTTTAAGCGAGCAAGCGGTCTGACTCAGTCGGATAGGCATGTAAGTGGTATTCGGAAGGTCGTGGGCTCAAATCCTGTAACTGCCTGTGGCACTCTTGGTGCCTACCAACTGAGATAGTTAGCTGGCTCCCCGGTTCAGTATTCATCATTACGGGTGTGTGTCCGTGTTTGTGTGGACTGTGTGGTGTGTGTGGGAGAGTGCTTGGGTGTGTGTTTGTGTGGGCTGTGTGTGGTGTGTGACAGAGTGCTGGCCAATACACACTTCTGGTACTGGAAGACGGGAGGCGCAGCTACAAGCAAAATGCTGGCTCTTTGCATCAGCCGGAACCACACACACCGGTGACCCCACCCTACACCCTGACCACCGCCGATTAGGGCACGGTTCAAYATGCTATACTTGCAGGGTCCCCTGTATAGGCTTCAGAGTAGTGGTAGGCGGGTGGTGAAAGGGAAATTGAGAGAAGAAAATTGTCTAGGGTTGAGTGCGGCCCACCACTCTCCGAAACGGAAGGTGCTGAGGTCGTGAGGCATCATTGTGTCGGTGACCCCACCCTACACCCTGACCACCGCCGATTAGGGCACGGTTCAATATGCTATACTTGCAGGGTCCCCTGTATAGGCTTCAGAGTAGTGGTAGGCGGGTGGTGAAAGGGAAATTGAGAGAAGAATATTGTCTAGGGTTGAGTGCGGCCCACCACTCTCCGAAACGTAAGGTGCTGAGGTCGTGAGGAATCCAATGATGCTCAGGCGGGCGTGCCCTCGGCAGAAGCCTTGGGCGCCACATGCGTTCAAGGTATCGATGGCTCACGGATTTCTGCAATTCACATTCAGTATCGCATTTCGATGCGCTCTTCATCGTTGCGAGGGCCAAGATATTCGTTTGCCGAGAGTTCTACAATATGGTGCCGTTCCGACAGGACCGACCCCTCGACCAGAACAGAAGGGGGCCGTCAACCCGGACAGCGACAAATCAGAGCAGGTACATCAATAAGAAGTTGCAAAGCCCTGGGGGCCATGTTTCTTTGTTCTTTTTCTTTTCAAGGGGGGGAGGGAGAGGGAGAGGGAGAGGGAGAGTTTTGTTTCACTGCAGCCTTTCAAGTTGGTCAGTGAACACACATAGGGAACCCTAAAAGAACAGTCCTAGGGCTGCAAATTTTGAGCCTGGCCCAATGAGCCAAAACAATACGGGCTATGGGTAGCAATGAGGAGAAAAATGTTTTTTTGTTAGCCCAACGGAATTTTGTGTTTTGTTTTGTACATTTTTGTTTTGGAAATATCAATATGTGTCCCTCAGTTTTCTCATATTTTTAGACGCTCTCAACATTTTGTAACAAGCTGCCCCCTCAACAAAAAATCACCCCACCTTGACACAAACAAAGCAACCTACTATACAGTAGCCTTCAAGTTGCAAGTACCGTAGCCTACTCTCTGTAGTTTATGCCATGAGTCCAAAAACATTCTGCACGTGGCAACGACGGATCTCCACAGCCACCAGTCTCTTCAATTTGGGCCTAGAACTAATGAAAACTTTTTGTGCGCCTGGTACTGTTGAAAAAAACATTGGCACGGTAAATTTTTCTCGCCCCTTCAAGAGTAGTTTTTGGGGTCCAAGTGAAATGGAAGAGCAGTCCTTCGATTTTATGAAGGTACCGACTCTACAAGCAATAGCTGTGGGTCTTCGCAAAATCACAAAGGACCTGTCTCTTGCAAAAATTATATTCCCAAATTACCCCTTTATTTGCTAGTCATCCACCGCAAAAAATGCAACACCTTGATACAGACGCTCTAAGCCACTAACTATACTGCACCCCTTAGGGCTGCAAATAACTTAGTTAAACCGCCAGTACCTTTGATCAGCCCCTCTCAAACGTATCCGCAGACATTGCCTGATCTTGTGAGAGGGACAGCCAAAGAAACAGCAAATAGAGCTCTCTTTGGAAACGGGAAAAAAAAGAAGACGAGGAGATCCGCCTGGCTCCGCTACTTACTAAATGAGAAAAAAAAAAAAAAATCTTATACTAAAAGTAGGAAGATACATCGCCATCTTTTTTTTTTTTCTATTGATGTCATAACTTCTCGCAACATTTTATTTTATTTTGTGTCTTTCATGAATACTAGTGGAGCTCACGTTGTCGGTGAAAATACCCTTACAAAGGTATTTGCCCATCTTTATGTGGCTCACATGAACCGCTGATTGGTTTTTAGTTGTCTCGCACCGACTCATGAGGAGATTGAACCTTCTTTGTGAATCTACAAAATGCGTAATGGTGATCAACTTTAAAGTTTAAACATGTTTATCGTGACAGACAAGTATGTGTATAAAGGTAATAAGGTATGCAACAACAAGATATGTAAGTGAACAGTTGTGGAGCAAAACAAGTAGTAGCAAGGCACAAAGGCAAAAGGGGAAGGTCAAAATGCATGGGTAAACAAAGAGTCGAGTAACAGGGAATGACTACAAACGACAACAAAGTAGATGGATAGTAGGATAAACACAAAAGTGAAAAGCAACATGCAACAACGCACATAACAAATGAACAGTGCAACAACCCTTAAAACGAAATATCACCAACTCACATTCCATATATGAAAACCTTTGTAGATTGTAGATTCAATCACAGTTAGGAAACTATAAAACAAAGGTATGCTATCGTGGAGAAAAATAAGAATCACGAATACGAACCCCCCTTACTAATAGCGTAAAGGCATTGACATCAAACACTGCAAAGTTATATGATATATCTAGGGGTTGTCATTGGATATACTCAAGAGAGCGAGAGAGAAGTAGTAAGGAAATACAGTGAAGGTTA